CTTTTGACCTTGAAGATGCTTACTTCCATATAGCGATCCACCCCAGCGCAGAAGTTTCCTACACTTCACTCTGGGTCAAGAGCACTTTCAATACATGGTGCTCCCGTTCGGTCTCTGGTCTGCACCCAGAGTGTTCTCAAAAGTTCTTTCAGTGGTAGCGGCTCATCTTCACAGATGAGGAACTGTGATTGCCCCCCCCCCCGACGATTGCCTGTTCAAAGAGCGTTTTTTTAACAATGCTTCAACAGCCACTCAGAGGGCCATAGACCTGTTTCTCAGACTGGGACTACAATTAAACATCCGAAATTCCACCCTAACTCTGGGGCAAACTCTGGAGTTCATAGGAGCTTGCCTTGATGCTGTAACGGCCAATGCATTCCTCCCTTCACACAGGTCCATAACCAATTTAGGCACTATAGTGCAAGTCAGCCCTGAAATATCAGCCAAAAATTATCTCCAGTTATTCGGACATATGGCAGCTGGCACCTTCGTAATAAATCATGCAAGTCTTCACGTGCACTGCCTCCAAGGGCTGGCTCAGAAGTGTTGATTCATCAAGCAAACAACTCTCCATGCCTTTGGCAGGAGAAAAAAAAATCCCTCAACTAGTGGAAGAACCCACATAATGTTTGTTCATGGAACCCCTTTGCTCAGCCATCTCCAACATCAGAAATAATAATGGATGCACTCCTACCAGGATGGGGAGCTCACCTAGATTCTGCTCACACTATTCAAGGCAGGTGGTCTCCTCTCGAGTCCACCCTTCACATCAACTTGCTGGATCTCAAAGCCATCAGAAATGCCTGTATCCATTTCCTCCCGCTGACCGGGGCAAATGCCTAAAGATCATGATGGACAATATGTCATGCATGTTTTACATAAACTGTCAAGGGGGAGCAAGATTGTCTTCCTTTTGCACCGAATTGGTGCATATGAAACTAAATCAACATTTCAGCAGCTTACCTTCTGGGCATACAAAACAATGCAGTGGATGCTCTCAGCAGACACCTCTCGTAAGATCATGAATGGGAGATAGATCCCACTATACTCCACCGCATATTTTAGTGTTGGGGCATCCCACAGATAGACCTGTTCTCCCCAGCCAAGGACAAGAAGCTCTTGAGGAAGTCTGGATCACCGCTCCCTGGAAGATGCCTTTCTCCTTCGTTAGAGTCAAGCCTTCTGTATGCATTTTCCCCGACTTCCTTCATACCCAAGGTGCTGTTCAAGATAAGGAAAGCTAAAGCCAAAGTTATTCTCTTTGTTCAGACAAGGTCAAGACAAACATGGTTTCCTTACCTGTATCAGCTCACTGCTTGTCAATTGATCACTCTCCAGACTGTCCTCCATCTTCTCTCTCAGGATGCTGGTCAAATCCATCACCCCCAACCTTGGGGTTCTTTTGATCAAGGCATGGCTGCTAGATCAGAGGAGGGCAAACTACGGCCCGCAGGATTGCCAGCCCCATGGTGCAGCAAGGCTAAGGCAGGATCCCTGCCTGCCCTGGCCCCGCACCGCTCCCAGCACCAATGGGAGCTTCCGGGGGTGGTACCCACAGGCGAGAGCAGCGCACAAACGAGCCACCTGCCCCACCCCACCCCCAGGAGCCACTGCCGGACATGTTGGCCGCTTCTGGGAGCGGCATGGGGCCAGGGCAGGCAGGGAGCCTGCCTTAGCCCCGCTGCGCGCCGCTGCCACCCCGGAGCCACTTGAGGTAAGCAGCGCCAGGTCGGAGCCCGCACCCCGAACTCCACACCCCGCATCCCAACCCCTGCCGCATCCCTCCTGCACCCTGCACCCCAACCCCCTGCCCTGAACCCCCTAACCTTCTCCCTTGAGCCCCTTGCTGCACCTCTCCTGCACCCCAGTGCCCTGCCCTGAGCCCCCACCTCACCCCTCCTGCACCCCAACCCTCTGCCCCAGCCCTACATTCATGGCCCTGCATACAATTTCCCCACCCAGATGTGGCCCTTGGGCCAAAAAGTTTGCCCACCCCTGTGCTAGATGGTTTGCAGGGTTAGAAACAACCCGTTCTGAGGATGTAAAGAGAGTGCTGTTACGTAGCAGGAAACGATCTACTTGTGATGCATATACTCAAAAGTGGATGAGATTCAAACACTGGTGTGACATAAAAACATCTTTCACCTCCATCTTCTCTCTTATCATTTGTACTAGATTACATTTTAGAGCTAAAAATGACAGCATTATCTTTAAACTTCATAAACATGCGTTTGGCAGCTATTATGGCCTTCCATCATATGGTAGAGGGTTTTTCCATCTTCGTTCATTCTACAATGAGGAAGTTTCTCAAGGGACTGGACAACATCATCGCACTAATCAGATGCCCTCCACTGGCATGGTACCTCAACTTGGTACTCAGATGTCTTACAAGACCTCCCTTTGAACCTATGGCCAGGCTGCTCCCTTCTACCCTGTCTATGAAAACTGCCTTTAGTAGCCATTACTTCTGCTCAAAGAAGAGTGGGTAAAATAGGGACTAAAATGACATACCCCACCCCCACAACCTTCTTTAAGAATATCACACTGCGACCGTATCCCAAATTCCTGACAAAGGTATGTTTGGACTTCTACATAAATCAATCTATCCACCTTCCAGTTTTCTTCCCTAAGCCACATTGGGATAAACGAGATGCAACATTACATACACTCAATGTCAGGAGGGCATTAGCCTTTTACTTAGACAAGATTAAGCCCTTTAAGAAATCTCCCAGATTTTTTCTCTCCATTGCAGACAGAATGAAGGAATCTCCGATTTCCAAGCAAAGATTCTCTAGATGGGTATCTGGCTGCATTACCTACTGCTATCAGTCTCATGATCTTCAACCTACCTCTGAAGTATTAAGTCACTCCATGAGATCCCTCTCTACAGGCTTTCTTAAGAACGTTCCCAGTCACAGAAATATGTAGAGCTGCGACTTGAACATTCATTCATTCGTTCATTTGCTGAACCCCGTGCAGTCATACATGCCTCAGTTTCTCATGCCATATTTGGTTCTACTGTTCTACCGTCAATCTTTGACTTGACTCCGAAGCCTCACCCCTCCGTAGACAGTACTGCTCGATAGTCACCTAGAGTGGAGCACACAAAGGGACACTACTCAAAGAAGGAGACTCACCCTGTGCAATAACTGTGGTTCTTTGAGATGTATCCCCCTACGAGTGCTCCACTACCTGCCCTCCTCCTCTCTGCTTCGGAGTTCAACAGGCTTTGCGGTAGAGAAGGCAATGAGGGAGGTTTGCCTATGCAACTCTACATAGACTCGTGCAGGGCACAAGACTGCAGGGGGTGCGTGCATGGGCTGAACAGACACTGCTACCTACCCATTGGGCGAAAGCTCACCTAGAGTGGGGCACCCATAGGGGGACACATTTCAAAGAGCTATAGTTACTGCACATGGTGAGTGACTTTCTCTTCTTTCACTAGTGCATTTTAATCATTCTGTGAACCACATGGATATTGTTCTATACTGCAGTAAAACACCCATTGTTGGCCCAGCCGCTGGCCCAGCCTCTGACCCTCCCCACTTGCGGGGTCCAGTCTAAGCCCAAACATCTACACTGCAATTTTATAGCACTGCAGCCCATGCCCCGTGAACCAGGCCAGTCACAGATGTTTTATTGCAGTGTAGACATACTTTAAGACACTTGTGCATAAATTATTGCTCCTGTAAAGCATTCTCTTATACCTCACCCTTGTGTAATTCCAATGGAAAATGTTAATTATTTTACTGCCTTTTTAGGTTGAACACCTTAAAAAAAAATTCCACCAACTATTACTGCCAACTTTTTTACCAAGAATATTCTCACCATTAAATACATTTTTTAACCTATTAACCTCTTCTCTTTTTCTCTAAGCCTTTGCTTGTCATCCTATTGTTTCCTCCTTCTACAGCAATGTATCAGCTATTTATTTTCTGCTTGCAGCATGTGGAGCTGCAGAGAAACTCATGGGCTTTAGCTCATAACTTTTTTTCAATATAGATTAAAAACTCACTTTATGTGAAAATTGAATGGTGAAATTACGCTGTGTACATCATTTGGTTCCGTCCTTGTTCATGACCTTTTATTACTCATTCAAGGTGCTGCTGAGCACAACGGTACATTAGTTAGATATCTTATAAATGCACACTATAGCAAATGTGATCTAGAAAATGCAATGTGTCTACTGAATTTACAAACTAAGGCATAACAGGAAGATTAAAAGTTTTTCCTAAGCATGTCTTGATTTTGGAAAGTATCTTAAATATGTATATAAGCAGTACATATATGTATATACTCTTAATTTTAATGCTCTTGAAAGGGGCATTGTGACATGACATTCTAATAGTGGTTAAAAAGGGGGATTGTTCCTTATTTCTGTCATGTTTTTCAGTTTGGGAGATGAAGTTTTGAAAGTGAGTTATCTCTGAGCTTTTGTAGAGAAAAGTCAACATTTTTTCCTTATGAAAAATTCTTTTGAACACATACCTTTTTAGGAGTTTATTAGTATATAGGAGCACCTATAGGCCTCTGAAGTTTTGAAATGTAAAAAAGGCAAAGGGCAGGGGAAAGGGATACAACATAAAAGTGAAATGGCGAAGGTGAAAAGTGATAAAATCAAGATTTGATTTGTTTATTTAGTTAAGATTTATAGACAGTTCCCCAGTTGGTCAACTAACTTCTAGTCCCAGTGACTAGTAGTTGCAAACTTTTAAGATATTGCATGCTTTCTCAGCTCTCATCATATAAAATTACTGTGCATTCTGCAAAATGAATTACTTACTGTGCTGTATACAGATGATTGCAGCCTAAAGGTAAAATTTGAAGTGTTGCAATCTTGTAATAGAAATCTCTAGTTCCACTTGAATACTTGACATCCAGGAGCCTTATTTCTTAGAATTTATAAGATATTTAAGAATTATACTTCTACCTGACAAAGATCTGTGTTTTCTTTTGGAAAAATCCATTTGATTTTATTTCTTTTCTCCTTTTTAAAAAAGATATTTGGGCGATAGGGTGTATATTTGCAGAGCTGCTAACATCAGAGCCAATATTCCACTGTCGACAAGAGGACATCAAAACTAGTAATCCTTATCACCATGACCAGCTGGACAGAATATTCAATGTAATGGGATTTCCTGCAGGTACATATTGTGTGTGGTTTTTTTTTTTAATTACTGCTATTCAAACCAAGATACGTGTATTTGAAATTGTTGCTGTCTTTGCATATGAAGGTTGCAGCTGATCAAAGCAATAAAGCTGTTCAAATATAATCTTTGTTTCATGAATTGCAAAATCGAGAGTGAGTCTAAACATAATGCTGCTACCAAGTGGAATTTTATATTACTACTACTACTACTAATAGGATTGACTTTGTAACATCTGTATGTATATTCAATATTTTACCATATTTAAAAGGACTGAATTTTCTTACAGGGAAATAAAAACATTAGCAGTATTTCTGGGTATCTCCTCAGTGTTGTTTCTTATATACTTTAAACTTTACAGAGGACTGGCAGATCTGGGCAAGAAGTATTGCACCTACTGGTAAATCTTTTGCAAATGTTTAATTATTGCAAAAATAAACGATTTTGCATTTTCATTTTCAGTTTTCTGTTGTGGCAGAAAATATACTAGTGTGTCTTGATTTGGAAAAACTGCTTTTGTCTAACCAGAAAACTGAGGGTCAGGCCTAAGCCCAGACCCAAAGTAGATTCCGAACAGCGAGCCTTTTGCTATGCCTTTCCCTCAACCCTTGGTAGTACCTTGTTTAGATACCCCTGAACATTTGTTGGGTTAGTGGGATGTCTTCTGGTGTTTATGTGGCTACTGGTGTGTTGTCAAAATGATAGAGGCCTTATTTTAATATTTGATCCCTCTCTCCTCCATTGTGTTTATTCCCTCCATCATGCAGAGTCCATTCAACAGGCTTCTACAAATAGTCTTGTTCTTCCATCACCTTGTTAGAATCTCATTGGCTTCCTGCCTCTTATCACAAGAAGTTCAAACTCTTTTCCCCACCTTCATATTCACCCCCTAGTCACTTTTCTGTTTTTTTCTGAACACTTAATTTCCATTTCCCACTTTTGGCTTCATGCCTTCTATCATGCTACTCCCAACTTGTGGAACAATCTTCCTTTCCCCATCTATCTAGTGCCTTCTCTTTCCTCCTTCAAAAAATTTCCTTAAAGCGGATTTCTTTAAGCAATCCATTCATCTCTCACTGCTAAACCTTTTTTTGTGTGTGTGTGTCTTTAGAGTCTAAATAAAGAAAGATAAACTTTTTTGGGGCAGAGATTGTCTTTGTGAAGTTCTATGTAAATATATAGTATTGTATTAATGTTTTGTAATAAGTTTGGATTGCATTGTGTGAAGGTCCCCACTTCTTACCCAAGAATATAATTGTTTACCATTTTATTACTTTAAAACCTTTTCTTGTATCATTTGCCATTATAAAACCATTAATCTGGTGCAAAAACAGACAAATATGAGAGGGAGGAAAAGGAAATAAAGATAACATGCAAAGCAGGAAACAATTAGATAAATTCCCTCCATAGTTGGTTCTAGATTTTTGACCTCATCTTCTATCTAGATGGACCAGCAAAGTCCTCAGTTTTTCAGGTTGATGTCTATTCTCTGTCATTAATGCCATGCAATTATAAACAGTTGTAAAGTTCTGCAGCTCATAAAGTTCCAGGAGTACAAACCTAAATTATACAGATGGCTAGATTTTTCAAATCCACGGGTACAGGAGAATGTCATATAGTCTCTACGCCAGAAACATGGTTCTTTGTCTGCAGGAAAATGGTAAATGCCATCCCAGAGAATAGGAAAATAATTCAGAAGAAAAAGAAGCTACCGACTTGGAGTTTTGGGATTGACTATATTCTTAAAAACTACTTACAAAGTGAAAGATACATCACAAACTTCAGGGTCACATTAAAATAGTTTTAACAGTTATTTGATTTTTTTTTGTCTTATATATTAATAAATTGAGAAATAGGTTCCTTATCCATAGTCTGCACTTGATAATATACCTTAATCATTGCTGACATATATCCTTTAATTACAGCATGTGTCTGGGATAGAATTGGCTAAAACTTTTATATTTGTTGAGCGTGGATGCAGCTACAATGGCTGCTGCAAATGATGGGTAATGCCATCCCAAGCACCCTAATGGCAAAACAGATCACGCAGAACCACTCCACTAAGCCATTAGGAACTTGGGGTAGTTAGAACAGGAAAGGCTGAGAGGAGGAAATGATACCGCCACTGATTTCCTTTTGGGTTCTCTGATATGGTGGTTGTGGTTGATCATGGTGGGTTTGACTTGGTGTGACTCACTTGTCCAAGGCAACTTTTTAGGAGGAGTGGAGTATACTGCATCTTTGGGCCTCATTATCTATCTTAGTGAGCAATGAAGGTAGTTCCTGTGGGTTGGGACTGACTCAAACTGGCTTGTCAGTTTGTCTTTGTGATTTCCTGTTGAACAAATTGTCACCCTGATACAAACGCCTTAAAAAGGCATATGAGAAAGTACTAATGCATGTTGATCTTGCAGATAAAGATTGGGAGGACATAAAAAAGATGCCTGAACATTCAACATTAATGAAAGATTTCAGAAGAAACACGTAAGTTAAAGCTTTGCTGAGCTTTTTTGAGAGATTAGTTGTCTATTTTATCTTAATTATAATTACCTTATTAAAAAATACTTTGCTATAGTAGGCACCATCTTATAGTCATATGGTAAAGGATTAATATGCAATTATTATGGCTTAGATGATGGAGGAAATAAGGATACCAGGATGCTTAAAACTCAGTGTACTGTGGCTGTTCAAGTGTAGAAAATGTTAGAAGCCAGATGCTGGTTATCCAGAAAGCATTGTATAGTGAAATGAGAAGTAAAGTGGCAGATGTGAAATTGATCATGTATGTGAATGGAACTGGATGACTCTTGAGGTTGCTAATCGCAGCCTTTCTTAGATGTTACAACTTCAGATTTGTGCCAAGTGTACGGTGATGGAAAATTGTTCCTTTGTGATAAATATGTGAATAGAGTTGGTGGCCTGACTCTACTTCCACACAAACTGTCAGTATAATTGGCAGTCTCAGGCTTGGTCTACACTAACGAGGTAAGTTGCATAAATGATGTAACTGAAGTCGAAGTAGCTTAGATGGACTTACAGTGGTATCTGCACCACGCATGCTCTCCCGTCGACATAGCTTCCGCCTCTCGGAGAGGTGGAGTAGGGAAGTTGACGGGAGAGTACTCTGCCATCAACTTATCACGTCTGCACTAGACTCATTAAATCGATGCCCGCTGGATCGATCGCAGCAGTGCCGATTTACCAGTAGTGAAGACAAACCCTCAGTACATGGGGCAAAGCTAAATGGGGAGGTGAAGGCAATGGGGTCTCTTAGAAGTGCGTTTAGTCATCTTGACAGAGTAGTTTGTCTTTGTCTGGAGTAGAGAACTGAACTGTTCCTACTTGAACCTGTTGGATAGAAACAATTTAATACAAATGGCTTAATATGTCCACACTCACCAGGCAGATTCGTGTTCTGACCTATTGCAGTTTAGCCTTGCAGCTAAACTACTATGTTTTAAACAATAGCAGTTGCATTGCCTCTGGGCGCCTATCCCAAAAGCAGTGAATTTTGGGAGATTCTGAAAGGCAACCAGTGTATTGTTAGGACAGTGTTGAAAGGGCTGACTAAATATTTAAGCTCCATGCCTGCTGGCACTAAAACAGTACAGACTGATAAAATGATATTTAAACTTGCTGAAAAGGAAGTCTAATCCAAATGGTACTTGAGACACATGTAAATCATTCAGAGAACTTTTGTTTGTGGTCGTTTTGTATGTTTTACAAGCATGCTAGGAGGACAAAAGTGTTATTTCTCTGTCAACAAGGAAGCATCTGGTGCTGGTGCCTGTGCCTTAGCTATTCAATGGACAAAAATGGAGCTTTAGTCTTAGAGCTGTCAGTCAGTATCTTTCATAAGCACTAGGTTAACTTTCTCTAAAAATGCCCAGTACTGATATTGATGTATACAATACTTTTTTTTTTTTTTTCAGGTATACCAACTGCAGCCTTATCAAATATATGGAAAAACATAAAGTTAAACCAGATAGTAAGGCATTCCACTTGGTAAGCTTCTGGTAGTCATATCAATTGAAAAAGCCACATATATGTTAGCAGTGGTCAAACTGGGGGTTGGGCTGGTGCCAAGTGCTCTTTCACTGAATTTATTTGCAGTGCTCCAAACTATTAACGTATAGTTTCCGAACTGGAAACACTGCAGAGTACTTCTCATTTATTGCTCCTGACTAATAGAATGATTACATGAAGAATTTAACTGGATTGGCGTTTGAATACAGTACATCACAGGTTTTCTATTTTTAATAATCATGGTAAATTTGTGGTTTTATTTTTGATACTGCAGCTCTGTTTTTAATGCACTTTACTGCTTTTACATTTGTGTATTTTAAAAAATCAAATTAAAATCTATTTTTGATAAATACAAAAACATCATTAATTCTTGAGGATGCATATTTGATTTGAACATTTTCCTTATTTAATGTATCAAATATGTACTCTGGGAAATATTGTATTGAACTTTGAAAGTTTAGTTTATAAAATTTAAAGAGCCTGCTTCCTAGATGCACAACTCTTTTTTTAATGGCTTATTTATAGATGCTTCCTAGTAAAAGGTTCTTCTCATAAATTGTGATAGCTGCATACCAAAATATTTCCTTGCTAAAACTCTGATTCAGCAACGTACTTACGCTTTTGTATAATTATAAGGACATAAGTAGTCATATTGCTTAAATAACTTGCTGAATTAGGAACTGATTTTTGTGTGTGTTATGTTAGCAAACTGATATATTGTAGAATTGTTGATACATTGCTTATTTTTAAAGAGCATTTAGGCAAATTTAAAAACCTAGATATAAAGTACTGCTGACCTCTGTCAGCAGGTTTAAAGAGAAACAAGTCTATCAATTTAACTTGGAGAATTCCAGCATCTTCTTTCCAATGTAAAGATATATAGGAACAAGAGGTTTCATGACCTTGGAAGGAAGAGGAGAAGCTGAGATGGATGAGAGAGGAAGGAAATGAGTCAAGGGGGGCCTGATTGTCTCATAGGTTGCTTGAAACTCCCATTGAAGTGGCGCTTACAACTGAATGGATAATCAAGCCCAAGCATTTTTACTCTTTTTGTTTTTAAACCAACACACTTTTGGCAATTTCAGAGCCCCGCTTTCCTTGCTCTTTGGTTTTTTTTTTTTTTTCTTTCATTAAAACTGTGGAATTTATTTGCTGCAGCCAAAGGTTGAGTGAATCCAGGCAGCATTTTAGTTGGTGATAAACAGCATAAAATTGTGAGAACAGGAGTTAATTGCAGCAGATGGATTACAGTAGCCAATCTGAGTAGAGATGTTCATAAGCACAGTACAGTTAGTTGTTGTTTTTAAATACAGTGACTATGCAAATCAAACATCTAATTAAAGTGCATAATTGAGACCTCTGTCATTATGCATTAACAACTGTGAAGTATTCCTACATTCTGCAGGAGAGTACCATTTGATATAATACCTGATAACTGATCACTGTCAGGTTTCTTATCCTCTTTGAATTGGAAATCCACTTTTGAAGAAATGAGTCAAACACACCTCTAGGTGGCTTGTGTAGTGCAGACATTTGTACCCAATACATACAAAGTCTGTAGTGTTATGCAAAACACTAGGGAATCTTTGTACATAAGCAAAGCAGCCAGTGCCTTTTCCCACTTTGCTCATAATAAAATTAACCCAATTTTTACCATATCAGGAATGAGAACAGAGCATCATAAAATGTGGTTCTTGTATTAATTAGATAGTTTACATAGTGTTTTATTGCAAAAGTATACATTATTTAAATTAAATACATATTTGGCATTGCATGTAAATAAAATATTGTATATTTTTTGACAAAAAATATCTGTAATTTTTGTGAGGATGATACCAGTAAGTGATTCTATAAGTAAGGCTACGTTTTAGTCACAGATATTTTTAGTAAAAGTCACGGGCAGTAAACAAAAATTTACAGCCTGTGACCTGTCGATTACTTTTACTAAAAATACCAGTGAATAAAACTTGGGGGAGGGCAGCCTGGGGGAGGGGGCAGTGGCGCGTGGCATGGGACCCCTGCTGGTGCTGGGAAGGGAGGTGGGGGGATTGACAGGGCCGGCAGGCTCCATACCTGGCTCTGCCCCTCCCCCCCAAAGCAGCAGCAGAGTTTGGGTGCGGGAGGGGGCAGGGGGTTGGAGCACGCATCGGGGTGAGGTGGGCTCTGGGCGGCACTTACCTGCGGGACTCGCCGGAAGCGGCAACATCCCCCTCGCTCAGCTGGTAGGCGGTGGTGTGGCCAGGCAGCTCTGCGTGCTGCCTCTGCCTGCAGGCACCACCCCTGCAGCTCCCATTGGCCGTGGTTCCAGGGAGCCCTCCAGGTGAGTACCACCCAGAGCCTGTCACACCCTGTCATGTGCCCTAACCCCCTGCCCGCTCCCACACCCGAACTCTGCTGCTGCTGGTGGGGGGCAGGCATGGAGCCAGGTAGGGAGCCTCCCGACCCCACCAATCTCCCTCCACCCCACTCCCAGCGCCAGCTGCCTGGCCACACCTCCACCTAGGAGTTGAGGGAGGGGGATGTTGCCACTTCCGTGGAGTCCCCCAGGTAAGCGCTGCCCAGAACCCGTCTCACCCCATCCGCTGCCCCTGCCACCTCCCACACCCAAACTCTGCTGCGGGGGGGGGGGGGGGGGGGGCGGCCACAGGAGCCCAAGACTGTCCCAGCAGTGGCCAGTGCGCCTGGCACAGGGGCTGCCTGAGCTGCCCCTGAGCCAGGCACACTGGCTGCTACGGAGGTCACGGAAAGTCATGGAATCTGTGACTAACTTGCAGCCTTATCTATAAGTGAATAATACACCTTTGACAAGTGCTGTTGGACATGAAGTTTTAAATGGTGATACAGACAATACATCACCACTTTTGTACTTGTCTCTCATTATTGTGATTTGAAATGGGGTAAATTGTAGTTTATAGAATTTGGAGGCCTAAGATGCTTCCAATAATTCCAACTGCCTTTTTCTTCCTTTAGAACTGTGGTTCTCAAACTTTTGTACTGGTGATCCCTTTCACATAGCAAGCCTCTGAGTGCACCCCCCCCCCCAATAAAGTAAAACACTTTTTATATATTTAACACCATTATAAATGCTGGAGGCAAAGCAGGGCTTGGGGTGGAGGCTGACAGCTCGTGACCCCCCAGGTATAACCTCGCGACCCCCTGAGGGGTCCCAACCCCCAGTTTGAGAACCCCTGCTTTAGTACAGATGTGCTGCCTTTTGCCTGCAAGTTTGACTACATTTGACACTATTGTAGGCCAAAGATTTCACTGCTAGCTCCACATGATAATACAAAATCTTAGAGTAGCACACAATTGCTAGTTAAGAGTTACTGAAAAATTTCTCCTCCCCTCCCGCCCCATACACCATTTTATCCTAATTCTACAGTATGTAAAAGAGGTCACTTTATCACATTTTCAAATATCAATTAGGCAATCTAATAGCAAATCCGATTATGCAAATTTTAGTGTCAATCGTGGTAACTGATTCATTACTGATCACTTCAGCATTAGGTAATGCGCTTATCATATAAACCCAAACTGCTTTTCATTCCTTGCCAGGAGCCAAAAATCCCTACTTTTTCCTACCTAACTGCCAAAATCTCTAGTTTCCTCCTGACAGCTTCTATAGTACAGTTAGGCATTTCCAACACAAAATTCTGGAGCACTTTGAAAATTAAGATTAAAAATATATGGGCAGCATAACATAAATTTAATATCAAATTAAATATCACTGGGAATACTGTAGTGATTCTGGCACCTTAGAGACTAACAAATTTATTATAGCATAAGCTTTCATGGGCTACAGCCCACTTCTTTGGATGCATAAGTGGGCTGTAGCCCACGAAAGCTTATGCTATAATAAATTTGTTAGTCTCTAAGGTGCCACAAGTACTCCTGTTCTTTTTGCGGATACAGACTAACACGGCTGCTACTCTGAAACCTGTAGTGATTCTATTATTCATTTTCATATTTAATTCAATAACCTCAATTTTTTAATTTATCTGAAGCTGCTGCATTTCCAGTCTGCTGCAGGGGTCTTGCTACAAAATGTAGGTCAAGCTTGCCATGTAGTATAGGTCTTGATAATAAGCACTTTTAGTATCCCACACAATAAGACAATGGATCACTTTGGTTCAGAGCAAATTAGCTTCATTGAAGAGGGGTGAATGGTCTGGCCAATTTGGTCTGAAAACTTCTCCTTTGTTTTCCAAATCTTGAAGGCCTGGAGATTCATTTTTCTGTTCATTGGAGACAGCCAGTCACAAAGTAATCATGGATAGGATGGGCTAACAAAATGTTTTATATTTGTCCTCCCTCTCCTCCCCCCATGGTATCACTATAGGACAGCAGTTGTTTGGATACCTTAACTGTGTATTTCTTACCTCTAATGTTTTTGGATTTCCACCCCGAAAGAAGGGGTTAAATCAGGGTGCAAGATCAGGGATATCCATATTAATTCCACCAGAGCTTTTGGGACAAGCCCCAGGGGGAAGATTGAGTCTGAAAATGTTCATGAAATTGCACATTGATTTTTCCCTCTTGAAGTTGGCAGAACCCAGATTCTTCTTCGAGTAGTGTCCCTATGGGTGCTCCACTGTTGGTGTGCTTGCGTTCCTGCACTGCTGATCGGGGAACTTTGGTAGCAGTGTCCGCTAGGACCTGCACATGCGCTGTCTCTCCTCATGCCTCGCCACAAGGCTAGTCAGCATGCGTGGGCTAACCCCACTCAGCAGTCCATTAACGACTATTATCTCAGCCTTACTTTTGTAGCCTAGAGCTTAGTTTTTAGTAGGAGTTATTGCAGTGTGTCTTCTTTTCTCAAAAATAAATAAATAAATAAATCTATACATACAAAGAGATTTTATTTGTTTTTCTTCCTGCCCTTTCTTGTTGGGGGCCCTTCCCCCCAACAGGGTATGCCCAGGTCTCTGGGCTTCAAGAAGTGCCTCTCATGCAACAAGGCTATCCCTGTCGCAGACACG